ATAAAGATTTATACACAGGTGAGTATATTTGCCTACAAGGGAGGGAAATGTCTAATGACCATGATGCCTCATAACTTCTTGACAAAGTATGGTAGAACAATGAAAATGGTACCACGTGGGACTGTATAAATTTATCTTCACTTTGAGAACAGGAAGGCAGATGACTATGAAAAACATGTGGAAAATTTGCTTAGGTCCTATAAAGCACTTGGTGCAAACATGTCACTAAAAATTCACTTCTTACACTCGTATTTAGAGTATTTCATTTTGAACTGTGGGGCAGTGAGTGATGAGCCTGAGGAGTCAACCAGGATATTGCAGGCATGGATTAAAGATACCAGGGGAAATGGAGTCTATCAATGTTTGCTGATTACTTCTGGAATCTCCCCTGCCAAAAAGCACAGTTTAGATACCAAATAAAGATTGAACCTTGTCGCTTAATCTGATGTTAGACCTTGTCAGTTTTTCATGCAAAAAATATGAAAATGTTACATGAAAAACCAGTAAATGAATGGAAAGTTATGTTATTGGTATCAATAAAAAAGATAAATTTATAATGATTGGTGTGGTACCATTCTCATTGCTATATCACATTTGCAGAAAAAGTATGGAGCATAATTGCACACACCCCTCATAATTTTGAATTATTTTGCTGCAATTTTGACCTGAAGCTGTATCTTGGAGACTGGAGCCAATTAATATTCAGGACTTCATTTTCTTTATCAGTGACCCAATTCTGGTAAAATTAAGCTACTATCATTTCTAAGGCTTTCTCCTTGCAGGCCAGTGATATTAACCAAACCAAGGCACAACAAAAGGTAGAGATGCTAGTGTGTGTGTGTGAATGTGTGTGAATGAAAGAATTTAGGACAGTGGCTGAAATGGACCTTCTAGTACAGCCTTTTCCAGCCTGGCTGGGCCACAATTTCCTCCCTGCCTTCCCCACACCAGACAACATGATCAGTGAGAATGGTTTTATGGCATATTAGGAGACATCAAGTGGAGAAGACAAACATAACAGATCCATATGTGAAGTTTTAGTGAGACTGTTTCTATTGGTTCATCCCTCTGTAATGCCACAGCTCTATTTGTTCCTACTTTTTCTCTCATCCTTTCTTCAGTGTTTCACATGATGATAAATGTACAGTAATGTATATCTTGGTGAACTATTGGTGTATGCTATTTAGAGTGAGTTGACAGTTGTCAATCACCTGGACATGCAAAGCACTTCTTTTTGAGGACTGTTAAAGTAGCTGGACCCTGGTTTTTCTCCAGATCTGTGCTTATGTTTGGTATTGTCTTGCTCTAGAAACTCTGGGCTTGATATTTTCACCCACAAATGGGCACTTTTGTAATATAAAGCTTTTCCTTTTTTTCAGACAGGAACCAAATTCCAGATATTGTATGACAAAAATGCAGAGGAGACCCATATAGTTTTGATGCAGGGAAAATATTTAGTGGAGCTGCTTCTTAGTTTCCTTGACCAACGATAGAGATAGTATCAAGTGACCTTTAATTTACCTTGTTTCTTGTTAGGACAATTAGCAGTTTAGAAGCATGAATGATCATTTTCCTCCTCATAATGCAGATTTGATCCCAGTGTCTGAATTGCCACCTCTCGTGATGATAAGAAGATTCCCCTTGGATTGGGGAGGGGTGTCTTTTTTTGGTTAAACAAACATCCATTACACAAAAGAGCCCAGACTTGTGATCAAAGGCCATGTCCCAAAGGAAAGAGAAAGGCACTGTCCATTTTTCAAAGGAGGGCTTGGGGTAGATAGCTGCTTACCATGCTATTGATAAAAGAGTATAAGATCCAGAGTTCCTATTGTCTAGATAGAATGAGATTTCTACCATTTGTTATAAATTCTCCACTTAAAAACCCCGGTTTTTTTTTTTCTAATTTGGAAGGCAGGAAATACTTTTTAAAATCCTAATGTTGTCATTGTAGAAAATTCTGCTGTAGTTTCGGAGAGATTAAATCTCTAAAAAGGGTGGTGGACATGAGATACCAAGCAGTTCAGAGTCTACCACACTGGATTCTGTACATATATCTGTTTTGAAGAGTGAGCGCATATTGCTATTCTATGGTTTGCTTGTTAATTCTTATCCTACCTTTCCAGAAGAAGTTAATGGGGAGGGGGCATATATAATACCTCCCCTTCTAGTTCCAACCCTACAACAATAACTGCATGGTTTGTTGGGCTGAAAATGATCTCTGATACACTTCTGGGGCTACAAATTGTCCATCCATCTCTTTACTGTTCTGTGAAAATTCAAGTGGGAACTGACCTCTAAAAACCACAGGTGGGTAAGAGCTTTGTTAAGATCAAGAAAAATAGCAAGCTGAGTTCTCTAGATTTATTGTACACTGCCCAGAGTCTAATGCAGCAGAACACCATCATTTTGTCCTTTTTCAAAGACCAGGGATAGGTGGGGTGGAGAGGTTGAAAATCAGCCCTTCCCAGTCCTGACCCCAAACAACGCAGGAGTGAGGAATGTCTTACTCTCAATAGATATCTAATGTGGCTTCAGTATTACCATTGATGGTTGGGGCTGCTGGAAACATTGGAAAAGGAGCATGACAGCCTCCCCATTTCTCTAATTATAAGTCTGATCAGCAAAGTGCAGCTAATTGTAGCATTGTTTAAGAGTTTAAAGGTTGCTTGCTTTCAAAATTCTCCATTCACTGAGTATTCCGCATGTTTCTTTTTTTAACCAAATTTTCTATGATTATTGAATATGCTTACACCTTGTTGGGATGTTTTTTGGAGAAGAGACTAGTGTGTGTGTGTGTGTGTGTGTGTGTGTGTGTGTGTGTGTGCATGCATGCGTGTGCACACTAAAACACCAACAAAAGGAATGTGAAATAATTGTTGGGAAGAAGCTGGGGAAATAACTTTGGAGAAAGGGATGGAATGCAATATCCCACAGGAGGGCACTGAAGACTGAGAGGTGGATAGAAACAGGAGATTTTCAAAATGCAACATTTGGTGTCAAGTTTCTCTTGCTCAGTCCAAATACCATTTGTCCCTCTTTCCTCCCACTTGCACTGCCAAAATATATGTACTTTATTTTAAAATGTTTGCTTCAAAATATTTATAAACCCCAGTTTTTATGATCAGATTGGATGCTCTGCTAACTCTCTTTTACTATATAATATAATATAGTAAAATAATAATAATAATAATAATAATAATAATAATAATAATAATAATAATAATAATAATAATAATAATGGTGTAAAACCTCTCAATGTTTCCTTTAGAGTCCTGTAGCCATGTATGTGTAATGCCAAATTATCTTTTGCTCACCATTTTCTAGTTTTTGTTTTTTATTTTCATTTTATAATTCTTGAACTCATCTATTCGTTTATTTAAAATGTTGAGATCCATTCCTTTGCCAGTTTCTTAAAATACATTGTGATGTTTACATCCCAGTTTGTGAAGATGAATATTAAGTTCTTATCAAAACACAACATCCAGCTTTTATTTTTCTACTTTGCATTTATTTTTAGAACAATGATATCAACAATGCAACCAATGATGTTTCATTACTACAAATTCTGTTAATAGCACCAACTATATCCTTGGTTATTCAGAATTATTTAAATATAGCTCATTCAACAATCCTGTCCACATGCATATGAATGATCTAGGACATTCTTAATTGTTTCTAGCTATCAGGAAACTCCCTCTCAAAGCAAGTAGAGTTTTTAATGTATCCCTTGAAGTGTAAAAAGTTAAAATAAATATATGAACTCATATTAATGCTATACCAATATCTGCCTCTCACACCTTTTCAGTCACTTGAAATAGTGATTGATACTTTCTTCTGATTTTCTCTTAATCAGATCTTTCAGTTGGTTTGATTGGGGAAGAAGTCAGAGGATGGCATTGCTAATATCCTTGTTCCCTATGACATGTGGCTTCATTAACTTGTAATCTCTCTGGCCACACTTGCTTCCCAAATTATAAAAGTCCCATCTGAATGCTGAGGAGTTTCCTTGCAGTTTAATTAAAGTACACAAAACTAAAGATTTCTGAAGAGATTATTAAAAAAATTAAAAAAAATATATTCACCCAATTCACCCAAAGCAACCTTGTAACTAATCAAGTGCAAAAACATCATATTACATTTCCAAAAGTATGGAGATGTTCTTTTCCTTTAAGGGAAATTTCAAAAGCACAGATTGAAAGAGATAAAACAGACAAAATTCAGGGACACCCCCCCCCCCCATTCATTGACCCATATCAACTTTATGAAAGGATCACTTAAAAGTTAAAGTTATATGACTTCTGCTAGATCAAATGGGCTGTCTATGAGATCCAGCATACAAAAAACCCATCTGATATTTTAAAGAGTCCCCCAAACAGAGCATAAAGAAATAATCTTCTTCCACACTTATTCCCCAGCAAGTGATGTTTAGAATAATATCAGCATGAAGACATCACAATTATTAAAGTTTATGAATCTTTCCTATTTCTGAGCCAACATGGTGGGATATAGAACAAATGCTATGTTTTGGGGTTGGTTGAGAAGTCACAGTTCCATTTTTTGGCAGAAGTTCCAGGTAGTAAGAACATCCTAGAAAGGTTCCACTAAAATAGACTCTCACTGTGCTAATAAAATCTTACACATTTGCATTGGCCATCCTTCTTTAATTTGAACAGGCTTTGAATGTAGTTTATCTTGTAAAAATAGAAATTGTTGGTGAAGCTGTCCTGCAGGGGGAGTGCTGCATTTATCTTACTTATGAAATGCCAAAGGCAAGCTACCTAGCCCATGTGCCTACTTTACCCCCTGGTTTACTAAGAATGCTGCAGACAAGACTTTAGAAAAGCAACTTGACTCTCTGTGTTGAGGAATATGCTTCTTGGGGAATATGCTTCTTGCCTTTCTCCAGCAAAAATTCTTTGTCCCTTTGCCATAAAATGTGCAATAATGGGAAGTTACTTGCAGAAGACTCCCATTAGTCATCCAGCAATAGTCCATAACCATTAGTTGCAGCCACATTCTTCAATTACCATGTCTTCATGGTGACGGACCCTTATTCTTCCCTTCTCATGATAAAGCATGGACAACGGACTTAACCTGATTGGAGCACAGGATGGACAGGGCACTCGGTTAGGTTGGTATACCTTCAGCAAGCTCTGTGAAATAGAAGAGGAAATCATGAGCATCATCTGTAAGAATGGACCTAGAGAGATTAAGAGGATTTAGTATTATGAACTGGCATAATACATCATAATCCTGATTTCAATAAAGGAGAATATTTATAGCTCAGGGTTGACATAAGAGGTCCTTGGTTCTCTCTGAACTAGATTGTTTTCTTGCAGACATCTCTTTACCCAAACTAGGCAACATCGTCAGTGCTGGTCTGGTGATGATACCTAATTTGGGTAATGAAAGATCTGTAAGAAAACAACCAAGCTCAGAGAGAATCATGAATCCCCCAGATCCTGGCTGGTCTCTGATTCACATAAGGAATCATCAACACATTTAGAAGGCTCAGCCATCAAAAGTGGGGTCATATATTTTACTTTTAGACAGAAATGCCAAACAAGCCAACAATTGCACTTTATTCAGTATGATCAATGGGAATGGATCTTTTATTTCTTCCAGCAAAGTTTACTTGTTCTGATTTTATTTATGCTGAATGGGATTGCAGATTTTCAATGATGTGTTTTGCCTTGAACAAGCTTGAACAAAGCATCCTTAAAATCTGCTTCACAAAGCAATATGGCCCCCCTTACTTCTAAGGGTAAAATGGAACTTCTAAATGTGAGTCTATGTTATTATAAACTAGCATGTGCATAATTTTAGACAAAGGCCATTCTACTACTGCTTCTTAAAACTTTGCTTTTGCAGTTCCCTTGCAAAGAACTGGGGAGTATCACTCTACCAAGTCCCAGCCACACTCCTTCATACCTGAACATAAGCATGATTTGTTGGTTTGAAGGTCTCATCGACAGGTGATGGACATTCTCCTTCACAGCGATAGGCATTATACTTCTTGGGATGCACAATCCAGCTTCCAAAGCCAGTTTTATCAAAATCCACCATCATATCAACTCTTTTGCATAGAGATCTGCCTTCTTCCGCCCACTTGGAGAATTGGAGAGTGTTCAGTTTAATTCTTTGTTTCTGTTTCCTGTTTCTACGATGGCGACGTCCTCCAGCTTCTTTGGTTATGTTATCAAACAGAACATGCTTGGACATCTCTACAGTTTTAATGAGACTTGAACCCTGAGAAGGCTCCATGGGTTGCTTATCTTTGGAGAAGATCACCAAGAGTGCTCTATCACGACCATTGGACACAAAATGCTTCTCATCCTCTCTAGAATTATTATGGGCATGCTTATCCTGAAATGCACCCACTGTTGGGTTACTATTGTCCTCAAATATATCCCCCTCTTCCCAGTCTTGCTGTGGGACTTCTGGAATCTCAATGCCTGATGGCATCCCTTGGTGAAGCCAAAGATGTAATAAGCTAGTGATGTTGAAGATTTTCCAGGGTGAATGGTTGAGCGAGAGGCTACTCACAAAAGAACCAAGGAACACCCTATCTATGCAAGTCTGATTCCCATAACATGTGTAGTTGTGGCTATGATAAATATGCACAGTGATATTTCTAGGTTGAGAGAAAGTCAGTAGATGAACCCGGAGCTGTGCCAGCTTGATATCATAGCTGCTGGAGATGGAGGTCATGTCAAAGGAGAAGTCCCAGTGCTCCCCAAATTGGAATGAAGCTGGAAGAAAGCAGAAGGATAGCAATTACACAATAAAGTTCATGCTTTGAAATGTTAGCATAGATTCCAAAACTACTCCAAAAATATCATGTAGGAAGACATTTCAACGAGAAATAAAATTATGAAATGTGGTGTTGGAAGAATGTTCAGCTATATTCAAATTTATAATAGAGACACTATTATATCTGCGCAATATAATGTCTCTTCTCCTAGATCAAACTTGGGGAATTAATTTTTCTGATAGTTTGCATTCAAAGATGAGTGCAATTTGTAAGACCCATATATTCACCAATCCATTCATGCTACTTTTCCAGTTCTTAAACAAAGTTACCAATTAATGTTCAATGGAAAGAGCAGAGCTGGTGCCTTAACTACTAGATCAAACTTGTTCTCAAAGCTTCATATCTTTCCAATATTCTCATCACTTAATCTTCATCACTATAGCTCAAGATTTACAGGGGGAGTATTTTAAACTAAATATCTTTTGATTGTTTGCACATTTAAACAAAATCATAGTTACCAACCTCTGTTTATTGTATGATCCTAGAAAGACATTTTAGTCTTATGGGTAAAACATCAGGCTAGAAATCTAGAGACCATACATTCTAGTTCTGCTTTAGGCACAAAGCCAACTGGGTGGCCTTGGGCGAGTCACTTTCCCTCAACCCTAGGAAGAAGGCAATGGCAAACCACTTGTGAAAAATCTTGCCAAGAAAGCCACAGGGACTTGTCCAGGCAATCCCGGAAAAAACACACATGATTGAACAGAAGGGGGAAAAAGCTAATTACAGTTTATTTATAAATCATGCTTAAGCAAGGACCCAGAATCTTCCTTATCTTAGTTGAGGTGCTAAGATCAAATAGGTTATTGAAGGAGCTGAGTGGAATACTTCTCTCCCACTCCTGCTTCTTAGCTAAACTACAGTCAGGTTAGAAAGATCAGAGCATGTTAACCGATGCTTTTGTCTCACCAAAAGTGAATCAGACTTAAATACCAAGGGAAGCATATGAATTCCAGGATCATCAATAACAATCAAGACATTAGTGTGCATTCTCACTTATTTAGGAATTTAAGAATCACTGCACAAAACAATGCATTGTTAATTTGCTAATTAGCTCTTTTGGTTGGCATCTAAGAGAATGGGCTGCAAATTATGCCTCCAGCCTCTGTCCCATACTGGAAAGATTGCCTAGTAGCCAAGCCATTAACTTTCAACTCAAGTCTTTGCTGAGAGTCAGGTTAAGGTTAAGGTTAAGGCATCAAGCAAGAAATCAGGAGGCTGTGACTTCTAGTGTTACCTTAGACATAAAACCAGTTGGGTGACCTTGAGCCAGTCACCCTCTCTCGGCCCTAGGAAGGAGACAATGGCAAACCATTAAAAAAAAATCCTTGCTAAGAACATTGCAAGGACTTGTCCGGGGAGTTACCATGAGTCACAGCAGACTCAAACACACACACACATACACACACAGAGCAGTCTTTGCTCCTCCAAACTGGCAATATGGGGAAAACAGCAATAGTCTATTTATGAAGTTGTAACATTTGTAAAATACATAAAAGGCAAAAAAAATGTGTTTGAACTGCTTTGTGTATTATTCTCCTTTTGTTTCACAAACAAAGACATTGGCAGCCTGTACTTAAGACTTACAAGAAAGAAAAGTTTATGGAAAAAAATACTTTTATAAGCAACTAATATTAACCTGGGCTTGCCAATAGCAGCTCCATACAGTATATCTCTTCAAACTACTGTTCACACTTCAGTGTCTTCCAGCTAATTCTTAATATTTAATATTGGTTAACTAATTAATTAATTGGGTTGTGGATGTTCAAAGACCAGATCTCATTAAATGCCAATGAAATCTGGATTCCACAACCTGGGTTGTTTGGATCATCCCTTCCCACTCCTTGTAACATTCTTGAAAGGCTATAATAACTTATTAGGATTTGTTTTAAAAATGTTAAAGTAGAAAAGGGATGGAGGGAAAATTCTATGTTTTATAGCATCATAATGGATTTTGGAGAGCTGAACAGAACAAATAAGAAAGACCAGAAGAAAGTTGGTAGTTCACATATTTGAGAGTTAGAGGCCTGGGTCTGTGTGTGTTAAAAAAATCCCTGGATTAACTGAGTTACATCCGATCAAAAGGACCAGGGATGGCATGAAGGTTGGTCATTACATCTTGAGACTCCCCAACTGGAGAGCATTACTAAAATAATAATCATCCAGCATCAGTACTCTATTGTTCATTGAGATTGATGAAGTGGTAGTTATTGCCATGAATACATAGATAACCTTTATTGTCATTTTTTACAGTTAGCACACTGGCACACATTAAAAATGAAATTCCATTGCCTGCTCTAAAAAGAAAGTATGTATCTACCCATACACATACATAGCACACTTATACACATGCTATATACATACATATGTGTATGGGTTGATATATACTTTCTTTGGAATATATAAAAACTGTACTCAAGCATTGCTTCCATGCTATGCCCTGAATAAGAGGAAGTGAACTACCAATAATCTTTTCTATCATCCTCACCGGTCTCTGTGGTGCCTTTCTTTTCTCAAGCAGTAATGCTTCCAAACCAGACAATAATGCAATATGACAAGATGCTCATGTCTCTAACTCTCAGGTGTGTGAACTATCAAGTTTCTCCTAGACTTTCTTATTTGCTCTGTTCAGCTCTCCAAAGTCTATTATGATGCTACAAAATATGGATTTTTCCCTCCATCCCTTTTCCACTTTAACGTTTTTAAAATAACTCCTAATAAGTTATTACAGCTTTTCAAGGATGTTACAAAGAATGGGAAGGGATAATCAAAGCAACCCATGGCTCTTCCATTAATTGCCATGAAACCCAATAAGGTTGATTTATATTTTGTGATCCTAGACCAGTCTTCTCTGTCAAGTTGCAAGTCATAGAATCATCTTAGATGTTAATTCCACCGACTCACATTCTTAGTGGTTCAGGGCTGTGAATATATATGTGTGTGAGTTTCCATATGAGGGTAATGCACATTGAACCTGTTCATGCTACTCCTCTGGACTTCTATAATAAATAATACCTTAGGCTAACATGGGTTCAGTTAACAGTGGCTTAGAAACACACAACTACTGTAGCATGAGCCAACTTATCAGGGGAAGGAGTTACTTCAAGACAGCCATTCTGCTTTCTGAACCCAAGGTTAGGTTTTGAACATATGTGTTTTGAAGAATGAGTGTAAAGACATGTGAGAAGGACCCTATCTGTGGAATGTGGAAACCCAGTCATGTTTCTGAAATGGACTTGCCTGTGTTTATCTAAGAAATTGGTGCTTTTGCAAGCCAGTGTTCCCTTCCCTTGGAAGCAGTGAAGGAACCTGCTGATCTGCTCCTTTCACTTTTACCTGCCAGCAGGTTAGTATCTCCCACTCCACGCCTGCCTTGGCTTTGGAGAATTTTTACCTGCAACCTTCCAGGGAATCCTTCACGACTCACCTGCATCTATTGGCCCTCCCCAATACACAAAGATGCAGTTTGTCACTTTGGTACCCCATTCCCACCCAGGAATATCTGCAGGATGTCAAAAGAGTGAAGGATGTGGATTGGTCCTCCTCCGCAGACGACTGCGGGGAGGGGGGAAAGCCGGGGAGGGGGTGGGGGCTGCAATCCACAACGAGGAATAGGGGACGGGGGTCTGAAACCTCACGGTCACCGCTATCACCCCTTTCTAAATACAAGCCTAGCCCAATCCTGTTATCCCTCTTAAATTTTTATTTTTATTTTACTAGATCAAGAGAACCGCGGAACTTACTTCGAGCCACCAGGCTGAGGATGGAGTCGGATTCTTTCAAAGCTGAGGCTTCGGCAGTGGACTGGCCCAGGTGATGGCCGGCAAGCAGGGAACGGTAGAGGTGCAGCATATACACCGGGTACGCGGCTCTGGGGTGCCGGAGACGGACAGGGTCTGCGGCGGAGGGCTCTTCGGCTCGCTGCGGAGAGAAACCGGTAACGGCAGGCTGGAAACTGAGCAACAGGTTGAGGAATGCCAGAGTCCAATAGGCCCGCTTCTGGATTGAAGTGAATCTGGAAGACATCTCCGGAGCTGACTTGGCAGGAGAGGAAGAATTTCCTTTCCTTTCCTATCTTCTCTTCTGCAAAGCTTCTCTGTCTCTCTCGCTCTCGCTCTCTCTTTCCGTTCTTCTCAGGAGCCACTCCGAGCAACTTCTTCTCCTCTTTCTCTCTCCAGCCTTCCTTCTCTCAATAGCTCGTCGAGAAACTGGGCAAGTTTTTATACCTGGACTGCCTAATCTTGCTAGCCTTTGATGTCAACAAACTGTCCGAATTTCGACGTCCTCCACACGTTCCCTATTCTCATGCAATTCTCCACCCTGCGCTGCGCCACCACCACCCCGCACCCTCACGAGGAAGGGGTGACGAGAACCAGCAATTAATTATCCTTCGCCTTCCCATACATCACCCCAAGTGGGATGCGAGCGATGTGATTCTTTCACAGATGCTTGAAAAGAGCCAGATCTCTGATGGGTGCTCTTCAGCCGCCCCGCCTCCTCCACTTCATTCAGATTATCGGATGGATCCTTTTTTGATCTTTTCTTGCGATAGTCTGAAAACTCAGATCTCAACGGGAACTGAGCCGCTTGTGCGCTATGATCCTTTTAATCTTAGGGAAGATGAGAGTTGATGTAATCGAAATCCTGCCCAGGGGAAGAAACCTTTGTTCATTTCATTTTATCAATTTTTTTTTTATTCCAGGTGCATCTAGCTATCTCGTTCTGTATGGACTCTTGGTATGCGCACTTGTGCGTGTCTGCATTCATTCAGGGAGGGTGCCAAACTTAAAAGCCTAACCTTAACACATTTCTTTCTAAGGAAGCCTTTGTATTACACTTTTGTAGTAAAAACAACAAAGAGTTTTCTGATAGTTTAGGGATTAAATGATTTATTATCTCAGATGCCTCCCTTTCATCTGACAAAAGTGATGATTGGCCCTTAAGCTTAATCAAGACTTTTTCTTTGTCTCACCTTCAGAGAAGGTAGACTGCACACTTCTGCTTCCAAAGGCTCCTTCTAATTTATTGCAACATCGGAAGAGTTCTTTTAAAGCACAAAAATTATATTTGCTTATCTTGTCATTTATGCTTATACTTTTGAGACTGAGGAGCTGCAGACAGCAGACTGTAATGCAGACTGTAATGCTGATTAAATTGCTGGTCTTTGAAGTACTGGAAGAATCACTTTGCTCTATTAAACCTCGAAAATGTTATCATTAAAAAAACATACACACACACACGTTTTTTCTAAATGTCAATATTGTGGAATTCCCAGTCAGGGCTCAGACCAAATTGAGTGAATCTGAAAAATCTATTTGAGTTCTTTTGCTGAATCCATATCCGAGACTTTGTATTTGTTGATTTATTTACCTGTATTTATTTCATTACTTTATATGTTGCTTTCAGTCTGGAGGTTCGGATATTTTTCCCTACAAAAATATGCTCTAAAATAAAAAATAAGCTCTAAGTGGACTTGAACTTGAGTTTTCCAGCCTGCCTGCCTGCCTGCCTGCCTTCCTGCCTTCACCCATCTTTTTCCTAGTCCTAGTCCAAGATCACATCAGCTTTTTTTAATTGAATGGACTTTGCTGAATAAAATAATGTAAAAAGATTTTAAAGACCAGTTCATGATAAAAAGAATTGCTAACCCAATGCCCTATAACTGAGCATCTGTGCTCTGTGCACACATTAATCTATTTTATTTTTCCTAAAAGTCTAAGAGCCTGAATTTCCAATAATCTTGCTTTTCAGTTTTGCTTTAAAACTACCTACATATATACATATATACATATATATACATACATACATACATACATACATACATACATACATTATTCTTTCAGGTCTCATGATTTGGATAGATTCCATTCATTTATTATTCTCTTGATAACTTGTAAAAGGGGAAAGTTTATTGATATCCTAATAAAATCAATAAAATGTGACTGCATGGCAAGGGAAAGTTTTTTTTAATGCAGCTGTAGATAGAGGTAGGCTATTTTGCTTTTTTCTTTCTTGGCTGCTTTGACTAACTCTAATGTTACCAACTTCACATTTCCATTATTTTATTTATTCATTTATTTAAGAATGATATTATTTTATTAGTTATTGCTATGGAGAAGACTCTACAAATAGCCTGATCGTATGCCCTGAAATGTGGACACTGTGCCTGCCTTCCTTCCTCCCTCCCTCCCTCTCTTCTTTCCTCTCGCTCACTTTTTTTTTCTCTCTCTCAATACAACTATTATTTGTGTATGTACCCTTTTATTTCACCAATTAGATAAAAATGGGGATTGGGGAATTTCAATCATATTTGTCCTGACCTTCCTCCCCAGATTTTTTGTTTCAACTTTTCTATGATAGGTTTTTACTGCCACCAAGTGGTTTTACAATTTTTCTTCCTTTTCCAACCAAAAATAATTTCCCCGCATATTACTAAATCAACATTTGTAATTGATCTGAGTTGATTCAAAACAGGAAAGCACATATTTCTTTCTAAATGCTTTGGATTCTATTCTCCCTCAAATTACCATAATTGTACAACAATTGTACTGAAGTTTTGTTACATGGTGTTAGACCACAACTGTTACTAACCACACATTGAAGCACTATTTTATATATAGGGTTGTGGCCAAGTAAACTATGGATAACTATGCTAACTGACAGAGGATTTATTTATATTTATTTCCTTATTTAAGATTTGTTTATATATTTATTATACAGCCAGCTATAAATAAATAAAATTATAAATAAATAAAATTGGATTTTAATATATTCAGTTCAAGAAACAGATAAAAAGTAAACTGGCAAAACCATAGACTGGCAAAACCATTTAATAAATTGCCCATAGTTTTGAACACCCAGACATTTTACACACACACACACACACACACACACACACAAACTACACACACACACACACATTTTTAAACAAGAAGATAAAAACTAAAACAAACTAATATGAAAAAGGAAAAAAGAAAAAAAAAGAAAAAGCAAAAAGTGAATAATTGAAACTATTTTTTCACTGATCTGTGCCTATTAACATTTGCACTATTGTCACTATTTTTATGAAACTCCAATTTTTATTTGCTCCATGATGAGTTTTCAAAAAACAGACCAAGGAGAGTCTGGTTGGCTCAGTACTGATCCCCTCCTGTTACTATAAGGCAGACATTTTTCTTTTCTCCAAAATACAAAAGAAACAATTGGGGTTTGGTTCAAAACACTTTGAGTTGCTTTGCAAGAAAGAAGAGACTGCTGTCCTAAGTGCTGAAAAAGAGTCGGAAAATCCAAGTTTAATTAACTAATCTTGGAGAAAATTGGGAAACCTGATGAACTAAGGGCCATTTTAATCCACAGGGAAGCAGGTTGGCATTTTAGCTTTTTATATGACAGTTTTTCTAGATGTCATCCAACAGCATTCATTACCAAGACAGTGTGATCCAGGAACCTATGATAACAGATACTCTGAAGTGCCAAACCTTAGCTATTTCATTTGAGTTGTATATATTTCTAAATTATTAAAAAAATATGGGCAAAAGTTCTTAATTTCTTAATTTGGTTTAGAACTAGCTATTATATTTTCATGTTTGCTATTACTCAAGTTTTCTTTTGAAGTCTTCCTAAAAGGGTTTTTTTGCCTTGAATACAATGTATATACCACTTCAAAGTGAAAACATCAAATTAATCCATACAGATAAAATATAAGAGTCAATCCCTTCAAGTTACATAATCTGTTTGAAGGTTTGGTTGCAGAAACGTTTCATGTTTCATTCTGATCACTTAAAGCCTAAAGAACATGTTTTACAATCAATTAACATATCTTGATCATTTAGTTTGTAAAGCAAGCTTGTACTTCAAAAACTCTTACTATCAAGATTCAAAAGCTGCTGAAAATAATGGGAATTATTTATCAGTAACTTCAAAGAGAAACTAACCCATGAATAATTGGTTTAGTTTTCTTAAAAAAGAAATACCTAGAAGATAGGGAGGCATTTTTGGAAGCCACAGCTTTGAGGTTGAATAACTAAGGGCAAAATTAATTTCATGAAATGATACTCAAAGAAAATGCATTTGTAAAATATATCCTTTTAGACAGAGAATTTACCAACACTATGTTATATCCTGACAAAGTGCACCAGTGGATAATGTATAATTCTAAAAATCTAGAATTGACATAGTTTTGTTTAAAAAGCACATGTTCTTAAGAATGTAGTAATGTAATATTTTTAAGAATACGAACAAATACATAATCTATTTCTGTAAATTCTGGTACAATGTTTGGACTATCTTGAGGGGCAAGATTTTTAGGAAGGCTGCATTACATAGTAATTCCACAAAATATGTTTCTGTAGTTTGAAATAACTCATCTCCACTTTTCTTTTCCTCATATAGTTATATTCTGATTTATAAGCATTTATTTACACCCCAGCTCCATCCTATACACACTTTGCCCCCTTCCTTTTTATCATGGCTAATCAAATTTTATCTGAATTTTTAAATGTAAGGTTCTTATTTGCTTTTAATATTTTAACATGTTAATGTTTTATATGGTATTTTAATTGCACGATTGTAAGCCACTTAAGAGTCATCTTAGCAAGATGGGCAGCATAGAAGTCTAATAATAAAATAAACAAATAAAATGTATACCTTTGCATTTCTGTAACAATATGTAAGAGTGAAGTTCTCTGAGAGTGGTGGATTTTCTGGTCAAATACAAATAGAATTGTTCTGTAATTTTAATAAATATGCTAAATAATGCAGTGTATATGCAAAAAGTTATAAATAAGTTTTTATGTTCTTAAGGTAAAATGCACATTGGATGAGAAAAACAACTATGGCTTATATGTTAAAAATTTTTTAAAGTAGAGCAGGAAATATTTAAAATTGCTAAATATTTTATATTATAATGTATAAGGTATGTATAATAAATAGTACTTTTGCAAAGGTTTAAGGTGATGTATCCCTTCTGATTCAATTGCCAAATGTTGCTTTGAAAGCTGCAATAGAGGAAGTGTAGTTCTGACCTG